TTAAATATTCTGTTAGAACTCAATGATTATCTTAATTATATTTTAGATTTTTTATATTTAAATTAAGATGTTTATCTTGTATTTGATTGTGTTTATCTGCAGTTAGTTACACGAATTCAAATATGGAGCTTTAATAAGTTGTACCTACGCACAATTTACTTGTAATCTTGAGTTTTAAGTAATATGCATTAATAAACAGTACTTTACACATAAAAAGTGGTTTTTAAGAGTTTTTGCCAAATGATTTATAATATAGAATATATTTTTTTATATACAATTCAATTTAAGTTTAATAATAAAACAATTTATTTTTGGTTTAATATTATAAATTTGATAAAGATAATAATTAAGTATTCTGTTAGAATTTAATGATTATACTAATTATATTTTAGATTTTTAATATTTAAAATGAGATGTTTATCATGTATTTGATTGTGTTTATCTGCAGTTAGTTACACGAATTCAGATATGAGATGAAATCGGATATGGATGAAATCGTTTAGGGATGAACGGGTTTAAGAGTTTTTAAGAGTTTTATGAGTTTTAAGAGTTTTTAAGAGTTTTAATCAAATGCTTTATAAGATAGTATAGATAGTCCAATGTCTATTATTTTCTGAAATTTCTTATTAATTTTTTTCTTCTTGTTGAAAAAAAAAATCTGGTTTTTGATTTGTAAATTTTTTAATTATAAGATTATTGGATTGTTTCGGTTCCTTTCAAATCAATTGAATATAAAATAGTCAATAGTGTAAGGCCTGGCCATTTCAAATACAAATCTTTATCTGTAATCGAGATGTCTGGTTACATCTTTTCAAAATTTCATATCCCGCTGCATTGTGGGGATACACAACTAGTGTCTTATAAATTTATATTTTATAACCTTTTTCAACATTGTTTTCTGATTTTATTTTTCTAAATTTATGTTTTATAATATTTTTGCCAAATAACTATTTCTAAATAATTCAAATAATTATAAAATTATTTTCAATTTTTATAATTGTATTGTTAACGTTTTAATTAATTGATAAGTTTAATTGATAAATCAACAAATAAAGTACAAGAAGTCTGAAAATATTACAACTCAATCAAGTGAAATAAATTATGTAATACGATTACTAGATAACAGGTTTTCGTACTTATTTATTCCGGTCATGTACGGAATAGCTCATGCGGTTGCATAATCATATTTGAAACGAAACCAATTTGGCAAGATAGAAGACATTGGGTGCCCTTCTGCCAAAAATATTTTGAGGTAATGATTACCGTTAACGTACCCAATTGTAAAAGCAACATGTTCATACCACGGGTTGAGAACTAGATCAAAGTGGGAAGAATGTCATACTACTTATAGTTGTTAAATAATATAGTATCACATTGTATCTTGAAGCAATCAACAAGCTCGTTTCAAAAACATTCATCCAATGCTCATTTGGTGCAAATATCATATTCCTAAACATACACATGCAAAAAACTATATTCAAAAATAGTAAGTGAAAATATGTCACATAAATAGTATAATGAAAATACCTTATTATTGGAATTTTGATAAAAAGACAAATCGTCACCGTAAGTTGTTTGGTTTGTGTAAATATCATATTCCTAAACATACACATGCATAAAAAAAACTATATTTTACAAACTAGCAAGTAAAAATATATCACAAAATAGTAAGTGAAAGTACCTCAGCGTTGTAATCTCGATAAAATTCAAAATCGTTTTCCAACTAGCCATTAACAAGTTCGAAATTGTAAAGAGAGAATGTTGAAATGGTTACTTGTGAATGAAAATACAAATTTCACTTCCCTTTTTATAGCAATAGTAAAATACACATCACTTCACTTAACTAATATTAAGTTCATTAACATTTTCAAGAAATCCATTTTTTTTTCTTCCAACCACCTCTAAGCCTGTGTTTTCAAATTTTTTTATATATATTTTTATTATAACAATATTTTTTTTTATAAAAAAACATAATACAATTTAAACTAATTTATATTTGAATTTTTAATAAAAAAACGAGTTATTATCTGAATTTTTAGAGATTGCTGAAAACTGATAAAATTATTATTTGAATATTCAAAAACTTAAATAAGAATTGATTAGTTATTTTTTAAGTTTTAAAGTCGGAAAAAAATGATGGAATATTTTCTGATTTTTTAAAGTTGCAGAAGAATTAATGATATATTCTATGAAAATATAGATAAAATGAAAATTAAGAATTTGCATATGAATTTTTAAAATGTTAATTCAATTTTTATAAGAACAAACTATACGATTATATACATATGGTTAAAATTTATAAATTTATAAACTAAATGATATATTATTTTTTATAAATAACAAGACTTATTGTCTTTCCAATTTATTGGTTTTAAATTTGATTAATATATAATACAAATAAAAATTATAATTACTATAGACTTAATTATTATTATTATTATTATTATTTATTAATTAAAAAACAAAAAAGTAAGAGACAGAAAAAAAAAAAAGATTTCAGAGTTCAGGTGAGCTATGTCTGAAAAAGCAAATTTCAGAGTTCGGGTGAGCTAATTCTAAAGAATAACTTCAAACTTATTCTTTTGAAATAACTCTGAATTAAAACTTTTCAATAAATTGAATTTAGAATTAAATGAAGTTAACCCTATAATAAAATCAATTGCATCATAAATTAGTGGTATTGATTGAATAAGATAACACATATCAATTAAATGAATTTAATAGACTTGTCAATGTAAATTGTGTCTAGATACGTTTAAATGAGTCTAGTTGAACCACTAATGTAAATTGTGTTTAGATATGTGTTTAGGCAGGAAAACAAGAAAACCGACTCACCAGAAGTTTTTGTGTTAACTATGTTAACCGATCTTGGTCATTGAATCTTTCAATAAACGGTTGTGATTAATCATGATAAAAACTTATTTTTTAAAATTTAAAATTTCATAAAGATAAGTGAACAAAGTTGAAAAGGGTATTTAGGTAATTTTATTTTTTATGCAACTCCCATATCATTAATTGGGAGTTACATAATAAAAAAATCTCATGATTTTTGTTAATGTAAGAACCATATGAACACAACTATATATATATGAACCATTGTGTCAAATACGAACAAAAAATTGACATATATATGAACTTGGACTGTATAACATTTACGAACATAATAAGAATAGTTGTTATTCGAAAGGAAATAAATAAAAAAACAGGTATGAACACAATATGAACAGCTTGTGAACAATAGTTCTTTCATTATAAACACATTCAGGAGTGATCCTTTGTCAATTGGAGTTTTATACATGCATTGCATTCACACCGTTTAAGGTTCGTATTACGGTATCTCCTCTCGCCGGACTGAAGAGCCATAGAATCAAAATAATTTTTATTTGGTATCCCCTCCCTACTACATACAAACCATCTTGTTTGTATGTCTCCATTCTTGTTTGTTTTTTTTGGCATGAAGACGAACATCAAACCCGACATTGTCCGCGTACATCATGTACATCTTTTCCGCTTCATTCATAGATACGAATTGTGCGTTGATCTTTGGTTTAATCTCGTCATCAACATTGGGGATAAAATGCTTGTTTCCATTTGAACACTCTCCAACATCGTACTCTGTTTCATGTTCGGGGGGTGTAAGTATGTGAACACTTGATACCATCATAGTTAGTAAAATCAATGAACATTAATATTACATAACTGGAGTAATCAACTGCAACAACCAGAACATAGATTTATTTGATACAAGTTAGAGCAATCATTAATGACCATGAGATGATTAATGTGAACATATATGAACAGCAGGTGAAATCTATTTGGTTCGAGTTCACAAGCTGTTCATAGACTAAAATAATTGACATGAACATATATGAATAAATTGTGTATAGATTTATTTGGTGCGAGTTAGATCAATCATTAATGACCATGAGATGAGTAATGTAAACATATATGAACAACAGATAAGATATATTTGGTTCAAGTTCACAAACTGTTCATAAACGAAAATAATTGACATAAAGTACAATTTATTAAAGCTAAAATTGACATTATAAACATAAAATACAAGTTGTTAACGCAAACTATTCCAAATTGTCTATTCACCTTCCCCATGACACTTATTCATCTTTCCAAGATGGATGTTTGCCTCCCACAGACCATCTCTCTCTCTCTCTCTCTCTCTCTCTCTTCATCTCTGGCATTTGACGCTCCTCATGAGGAAAAATATGGGCCACTGGAGGTTTTCGAATATGTATCTATTATCGAATCGTTGCTTTATCCTCATGGTTGCTTTTCTTCCCTAGATGACGATTGCTTCTCCAAAGCTTGATTGCTTCCCACATCAATCTCATGGTTTAAATGTTAATCGACACCTTCAAGGTGAGCTTCAACCATTGCTTCTGATTGATTTATGGTGGTTGAATCTATTGGTTTTCTTCCCCGGAGCTAGGTTGCTTCTCTTTCGAGGTAAGCTTCAACTTTATGGGTTTTGACCATTAAGCAGGGTCTGTTGATTGTTTTCCCCAAGTCGACGATTCACTCTCAGTCCTATAGATGAAGACACAAATCAGGTAGGGTTTCTAATATCTTTCAATCAATTACTTGAATTATGTTAGGGTTTCCAGTTGATTTGTTGTATGTGGCTTGCACATTTTGCTACTTCATGTGTTCCAGCATTTTGCTAAAATGTTTGATTATATTAAGCTTATTTGATAACTCCATATGTTCTTTCCACAACACCTTGCATATCATCACTTTGAGATGCATTAACATCTATGATAATTACTTAGTTTTAAGGAAACAAGTCATTTTCTATACAGACATCATCAAAATGCTTTTTGTTCTACATGGTTGTTGTTTCCTGAACAAATACCAAAACAGACTTTTGTTGTTTTCTATTTTTCTTTTGGCCACAAACAAATACCAAAACACCATATGTGGATTAGCTTTTTCCTGCATTGATTTGAATTTATGGATCATTGCCTCTTGATATCGGAGTTGATGAATCTCTTATTGATTTTTATTAATTATATGAATCTCTACTTGAAATGTAATTCAAGAAACAGCTGGATTGACTATTCTCCGCACCTTCAAGTATGGAAGCACTGGAATGGGCCTAGAAGCCTTAAGATATGGTAATAATACTTGTACTCTTTTTTTGTTGGACATCAAGTCTGATTTAGACTATTCAAATCACATTATGACAGATTTTTGTATGAACAATGAGTACTTTTCTTTCTATGGGTAGTACAACATACTAGAAATAAAAATTCCATTGATTTTTGGTACCTAAATGTTTGAACCCATTATCTGACTCGTGACCTATACTCACCCAACCCCTTGATTGGAACATCCGAAGGCATGGACAAATTTTTGCCAGGCCTATATGTATTACAAGAAGTTTAAGATATAACCAAAACTCTATGAACATAGACAAACTTCTAAAGTTTGTAAAATGTTACATCTTTGGATTTTGATGCGCATTTACCTACCATTTTATAGTCCGTTATAGCTAACATGATATCTTCGTATAACCAGCTTACACCTTGCATATCATCACTTTGGATCCTAGAGCTATACAAATTGCCAAAATCTTGGCTTCTTCAGAAATATTGCAGGTACTATTCTAAAATTCAACATTTGTTTGCATTATTATGAATGATCTCTCTATGAGAAAGCATTGACGATAAAGGTGGAATATGAGTACAAACTGATTTTTTAGGATAACTATAAACAATAGTTGATGCTAATGGTTGAGCAAGTTTGAAAAGCATAAATTGAAGCTCTCTCTTTCATGGATATGATTTCTTAGAAAATTATTTAACAAAAAAAACTGAATAGGACCATTGCATTTAGTTACAATTGAGAGTTGGTGTTTTAGTTCTATTGTGATATAGACAACTTAAGAGACGCCTTGAGGACAGTTGTTACTGCAAATCAATGTCTTGTAATCAAAAGCAAATGGTTAGATGAAAAAGTAATGAAAATAGAAAGCAACTCATTTGAGAAACCTGGAGACCCTGAAGCTCCACTGTTTTGTTAATATTTTGGAAATGGTGATAAGCTAATTTTACAAACTCTAAAAGTAATGAAGATATTTATATTTGGTGGATTGATAAGAATGTTACGAATAGGTAAAGCATAAGAATCTTGAAGAATAAGAGTAAGAATGTTACGAATTGGTAAGCCTTTCTATAAAGCTACTTCGGGTAGCGTTTCAATAAGTTCCAGGGGTTTTTTTTTCACTTTTTTTTCTTCCGATTGTATCCCTGATATTTTATATAAATGATTAACAACCTCATTTTTTTTTTACATAATTTTACATTGTTGTCTAGCTTATAAACCATCTTTGTCAAGCTTATAAACCATCTTTGTCAAGCATAGCCTTCATGGTAACATCCATTTTTCCAAGTCCCATTTTGCTTTATAAAGGGACCATTCACTATCAATATTTTTGATCTTTGAGTCCTAAAACCTTATGATTTACATATATGTACAAGCATCTTGGTCAATTTGCTCCATTAAGAGAGCAAACAGATGCACAACTGTTAAGAGATTGGATCTCCATTGGCTACAGCTCTCAGTGGCTTTGGTACTTAGTGGCTTTGGTACTCTGTGTATGCAGCTCTCAGTGGCTTTGTTGCCATGCTATTTTTTTTTGTTGGCGGTGGAATTTTAAGTCTAAAGTTGTTTATGGGATTCTCATTATGACCATACTATTGTATCTAATGTCTCTAGGACTCCATTTGATTTGGCATCACAAACTTATGTTTGCGTGGTTTTGTTCCACTGGTTGGTTATTGTCTTAATGGCCATACCCGATAAGATTCCATCTTTATGATTGCACTTACTGGGTAAGATTTTTTGGCCTTATAATATTTATCCGGATAGCGCATACCGGTTAAGTGTTTAGTAAACGGCCCTAAGCTATTATGCAACAACATAATTGTCTTCTAAAGTTGATTTTTAGATTTAATTTGGAGTATTTAATTACGAAATTACAACCTTTAGGCTTTTCTTTCTCTATTGTTAATTATAAAACCATGGAGTTATAATCGTTTAGTTTTGTTGTGATCTCTTTTAAAGCACTTATCAGGTAAGATTTTTGGCCCTCATAATATTTATCCGGATAGCGCATAGCGGTTAAGTGTTTAGTAAACGACCCCTAAGCTATTATGCAACAAAATAATTTTCTTTTAAAGCTGATTTTTAACTGTAACTTAGAATATGTAATTAAGAAATTACAACCTTTAGGCTTTCTTCTTTCTCTATTGTTAATTGTAAAACCATAGAGTTATAAATCGTTTAATTTTGTTGTGATCTCTTTTAAACGGGCCTCTTTACTTTCTAACCTGAGTCTGTCTACAAGAATTCAGGCCTGCAACCACTTTCTCAAATTGGGAGAGATTGCTTTCACATGAATTCAGGTTTGCAACCACTGTTTCATCATACAGTCTCTTCAAGTTGTCATAAAGATTGACTTTCACATAATATTATGACATGAGCTTTTTGATTTCAGCTTTTGCATCATTTAGCACTTCATAAACTTTTTCAGGCATGTTTATTCTTTCGACCTTCACATCTAAGGTGTGAAAAATATAAGGTTCAAAGCTTTAATATGATGGTGCATCAAGAAGCCTTAGATCATCCCATTTGGAAATGAAACCTCAGCTAGAGAAGAAGATGAAAGGATCGTCTTCGGAAATGGCGGATCAGAGTAGCAATTCTTCTGCCGTTGAGGGAATTGTGCTCTATCGGAAATGGCGGATCAAAGTAGCAGACCAATAATTTTTTAATTTGTTTGTCAACTCTATATTGGATTTTAAACTTTCATATAATTTTTCATGGATCGGCTGCAATTTGGAACCATAACTCTTATTTTAAAGAGCATAAGCTTCAAAATCGTTTATATTTTCGATTCCCGCCGTATTGTGCGGGTACACAACTAATATATATATATATATATATATATATATATATATATATATAGGGTTAGGTTTACGTGAGACCCAAAGTTTTTCGTGAGACCCGTAAGACCAATTTATGTTCATTGATCAACTTTATAAGTTAATGATCTAACGGTCTAAATTGCACGGTGACAATTTTGTGATTATTAAGAAATCTCGTGACGTTTATGAATGTTTAGATTGTCAGATTATGTATCTAATCCAAGGGTTGAGAATTGATTTTACGGGTCTCATGAAAAACTATTGGTCTCACATGATCCCAAGTCTATAATATATATATATATATATATATATATATAGGGTTGGGTTCACGTGAGACACGTAAGACCAATTTATGTTCATTGATCAACTTTATAAGCTAATAATCTAATGGTCTAAAGTTGTATGGTGGCAATTTTGTGATTATTGAGAAGTTTTGTGGCAATTTTATGATTATGAATGTTCATATTGTAGATCTAATCCAAGGGTTGAGAATTGGTCTTACGGGTCTCACGAAAAACCATTGGTCTCATGTGATCCCAAGTCTATATATATATATATATATAAGGGAGCGTTCAAATGAAAACCACCCTCATTTGTAAAAGCCGTACAAACCACCCTCATACGTCGATTTTATTGTTTAATCTTATGAAAATTTTTCATGAAATTGTTTAATCTTGTGAAATTATTTCATATAATCCTTTTTTTGATGAATTTGTTTCATATATATTTAATGAAATTTTAATGAAACTGTTTCATGTATTTATCTAAAATTAAAATAATGAAGATGATAATATCCATGATTAACACCCTCCACAATAAAAATGGTTAATCAACCTCTCATAATTACAAAAAAATAAACAAAATGAAAAATTATGATTGGTTGAATGAGGTTTTCATGGTTTTTACAAATTGAATGGATTTTATTTGAACGCTCCCCTATATATATATATATATATATATATATATTTGTGATATTAATATAATAAGTATAATTAAAAAGAAAATAAACAAATTGTAAAAAGACAATATTATCATTGACTTAATGAAGTATCCGTCAGTGGAGATAGAACAAGGGACCCAATCCATAACAAAAGTGAAATCATATATATAATTATTTCAATTCAAAAAAATTTAATAACCATAAGAATGAAATTTGTAATTTAGGGGCCGTTTACTAAACGCTTATCCTGTAAGTGCTTATCGGATTACTTTACCTTATTAGATAAACATGACAAGGAATGAGAATCTTAACCAGTAAGACTGACAAGAACCGAGAGTCTTACCCGATAAATAAGAGTGATGACTCTTATCTAGGGGAGTAAATTATATGAGACAATTCGCGAGCTATTCGAGATCGACTCGGTCAACACTCGACTCAAATTGGATCGACTCAAACTCGAGTTCGACTCGACATATTAACGAGTGGAGTTGAGCTACCCAATACTTGACTCGAAAAGCTCGTGAGATACTCGATTATATATATATATATATATATATATATATATATATATATATATATATA